GAAAGAGTTGTGCACTCTTCCATCCTTGTTATACAATATAAGAATTGTATATTATCGGATTGTAAACTTTGAATATCTAGACTGTGGTTGATGTCTGTAAATACTCTTTACATGTTCATGTATATATACCATATTATATATTATGTGGGTGAAATCCTGAATGAAGCCAGAGGCTTAATTTTTAAACCTGTCTTATCAGAAAGTGTGAAAGTCTCTATCATTCTCTTGTAATTTAATTTCACTAAAAAAATGAGACTTGTTTAGAAATTACTTTAATATTTTACTTTTAATTTTGATTATTATATTTTTAAATGTTTAACTACTTTGTTAATTATGTTTAACTTATAAACGAATTTTTGCGTCACTAAGGGCATGACAAGCACTTAGATATACTATAACAAATTGCGTATTAGATGACGCCACCATAGAAAACCCATCGTGTAATGTCTCCGGTAAAAATGCGACAGGTAATCCTTTTGTGTTTCAAAAATTTATACTGAAAAATATACGACGTCGTATAAAATATACATGGTATGATGGTTTTGTACGACGGTTTTCTACCATCGTACAATCCACTAGAAAAAAAAAATTTGCGTTCAAATTTTCATCAAAATTAAAAAATAGTAGTTTGCACTGCTAGCTAAAGGATTCATACTAGCTATACATGTGACTTAACTACTAATGGCTAGCCAAAAGGTCCGCATCATGTGCTGATATAGTAGCATCCAGTGGTGGAGCCAGCCTTTTACTTCAGTGAGGGCGTATATTAAATTTTTTTAATAAATTATCTTAGTAGGGGCATATAAGAAAATATATTTATTTTAGTGAGGGCATATATTATTTCAGTGAAAACTTAAGTATAAAATTTTAAAATTTTTAAAAAGTAATATTTTTTTCAAAAAAATTTAAGTGGGGGCGGTAGCTCCCACTGAGCTGTACTTAAATCCACCACTCGTAGCATCAACCTATGATTTTAAAGCAATTCATCTAAGTTTAAAAAGCACATAAAAATATTATTGGTTCCAAATTTAAGAAACGCACAAATTATCTAAAACTCACATATGTGAGAATATACAGCCTACAATATTGATAAACCCTCTACCAATACCTTATCCTAAACCTTTCCATTATCGTGATATGGAAAAAAAAAAAATATATATATATATATATATATATATTGATTGCAAGTCAAATTAATAAGAAAAAGTTTAAGATCTTAGGATGTGGTAGACTAGGATAACTTAAGACAGTTACATCAACTAATCCTCATTTAGAAACTTAACTACTACATATCTGACTCTACTTGAGTAAACTAACTGAATAACTAATAAAAGTTTCTTAACTATCTTGTCTTAATTGAATTTGAGTGGTTTCCTTGACTTTTCTTTTTGCTACTGAATAGGTTTATGTATATTTGACTTTTCTTAACTATATGTGTGAATTTGCTTTGAGTTTCATTCATTTGAGGATGTTTAATCTCCTTTCTTTATGCTGATTGTGACAATTCCCTCTTCCTTATATAGTTTGTTGTAAATGGTTATGTTTGAGATTGAGAGATTTAAGTATAATTCACTGATGATAAGTAATGGCTTGTGCTTGTAGTTTTAATTTATATGATATTTATGTTTGGCTCCATTTGCTGGCAGATGCTCTTGTTCTTTCTTTTCCTATTTCTTTATTTTATGAGACCTTTTGTGCTTGTGAGTTTTTTTTTTTTTTTTGGTTATAGCAATCTTGTGTTTTCCTTTGCTCTTTGCTTCCATTATTCTTGGAGAAATGTTGAGTCAACAACCAACAAACACTCTAACAGCCCCTACAAAGAATAGTATAGACAATAGATGAAGCTTCTTGCATTATTCTGTTTTTGTTGCCCTAATTTGAGTTTGTTTCTTTGTTGATGAGATGTGATATAATATTTGTCATATGCTTATTGCTTTTTACTTTTTATTTTTGGTTGAACCTATGCCATGGAACTTGCAAGTTTTTAAATTCTTTTTGGTTAGTTTTGCTTGTTTGGACGTGTGACAAACTAAATGCTATTGAATTATTAGGCACGTTTGGAACTCATTCCAAAATGATTTTATTTTTTGTATGAAAATGAAAACGTTTTCAATCTCAGACAAAACTCATTTTTGAAAATGTGTTTGGTAGTTTTA